CAGCTGGCTGCAATGGCGTCCAACATGGACCGGGAAATGATATTGGCTGATTTCCAGGTAAATTTCAAGCCGCCGCCGCCACGGAGCCGTGGCCTCTCGCTGCTTTTCTCTCTCTCCTCGTTGCTGTGCTGCTTGTTCTTTGTGGGAAGCGCCGGGGTGGTGGGGGTGAAGCCCACCCTCCAAAGCCTCCGCTCTTTCTTCCTTTCTTTCTTTTCTTTTTTTTTTTTTTTTTTTTTGGTCAGAAATGGAGAACGTGTGCCCTCTTCTCTCAAGGTGCGTGAACAAAATGTCTACTTTAACTTACAGTTTCAGTTTTTAGTTAAAAAAAAAATAAGCTTTTTCATCCACTTTGCTTGTTCCAATCCTCTACAACCACCTAGGCCCTGGGACAGCTGTGAACCAGCTCACTTGGAAGAGGCAAATGCCAGGGAGGATACAAACTCATCACTCCTCATGATTTGTCACGGTGTTTGTAATGAATCACTTACTGGTGCTACAGATTAATGCTGAACAGAGGTGTTTCCATTATAACATCAACACCAACTTCATGGTTGCCTCAGCCCGTGACTGTTGTAATGACAGTAAAACTCTTCCCACCCCATTCTAAACAACAACATGTTTGTGTAGAAAGGAGGCATATGCCCTTAAAAGTTGTTTGTTACCTTCTCTCCTCCCTACAAAAAGGTTATAATTTAACTTCAAACTCTTCGATCTTATTCCCAGAATAAAGTCTTTCTCTAAATAAAAATGATGTGTCCAGGAGCCTGGTTAATCTGCTCAGTATATTGCTTGTTTTTATGTTGTTTTTCTAAGAACAAGTAAAGAAACAAGTGGAAGAGACTTGCATTTGAAATAGTGAGGAGAGCCAAAAGGACCTTAGAAGGTTATTAGATTACATTTGAATATATCTTTTTAATGTTTCCTTTTCAATCAATGCTTTTTTTTTAAGCTTTCTTCGTTTGCAGTGGTTGTTCTTACATGGATAGGCTCCTGGGTATTCTTGGATTGAGTTGTGAAACTGCTGTCTGTATGTTCAATTTGTTAAAAGATTGTTTCTCAGCTGTTTGCAGTGAAACTATTTCATTTAGTTTAAAGAAAGGACTTGCTTCATTCGCTCTGTGTGTGTTTAACAAGAGCATTTGTTTGGAATGACAGGTAGGGTGACTAGTGTACATTATGTAATTCCTCTTCCGCAAAAGGTGTCTGATACCTCACTGACGTAACACGTGGAGTTCCCAGTTGATAACAGGGAAGTGTTTTCCCTTTCTGCACCTGAGTATCGTACACCCATATCTATTAAAATCTTTAACAAATGTTTCTATAATGATGCTTTATTTTGTTGTACTTGGAGGTACTTTTGTGTGTGTAAGGAGTGACATCTTAATTCTAAGGCTAGGGTTTCATAAAGGAGTTCTTCCAGTAACAATACACTGTGTAAAAGGAAACTGGGAGCCCAATTCTGCACTCGTGCTATTGGAGGCAGACTTTTAGGGAATCCCTCATGATTAGCTGAAATAGGTTTACATTTAGGAATCCCAGAGGATGATCAAGTTAGTGGCTCGTGAATGTAAGATTTTTTTTTTGTTTTTTAATAGAGTTTTCAATCTGTGTACACTTTCCAAGCTTTTAAAAATGCTATTTTGCAGTTCTGCAGTGTTTTTCTGCTTGGGCTTTGAAACCAGTTAATAAAGGTATAAGAGTAACTGCAGTGTTTGGTACCAAGAAGACAAGTAAGTACTATTGCAAAGTTGCAGGTGGACGGTGGAGTCGTGGAAACCAGTTGTAGATCAAGGATGATAGAAAGCGTCTGAAGCTAGGACCCAGGAAATATTTTATCATGCAGTTTACATATGTTAAAAACTTACATATATGCTTATGTATGTATGTGTGTATATATATTTATTTGTATAACTTATAAGTTATACCTTTTTTATATATATGTATAAGTCATATAACACTTACTTTAAAAAAACCCAAACTCTTTCCTTTTGTATTTCAGCAGACAACTTTGTTTTTCTTTTCATTCTGTTGTTTTTTTGTTGTTGTTGTTTTTTTAAACAATCTCAAGCATCTGTCCAATTCTGAAACACTGAACTGTCGATTGTCACGCTGTTAAAGCTTCAGATTAGTAAAGGGCAATGTAAATCATTATTAGGCTTCGTATTTTTAGGCTGTTACAGAACGGTAAAGGATTTGGGGTATTTTAAATACTCGATGGAATTTACAGCTCACTAGAATTTAAAATGGAAAATAAAACATGTGCAAAGTAATTCTGCATGATTTTCCTTCCTATATTTTCTGTATCTTTTAATTAATAAATATGTTTCTCAGAGTTCTGCTGCTGTCTTCTGTATTTTTGTGAGATATCTTATTGAAAAATGTTGTGCACACTGGAAATTTTCAAAGCAATTCTTTGTAGTTTTGTTCGTTCAGCTAATCTTTGGCAAATTAAATCGTGAGGGAAACTTCCATCACACTTGCCTTTCCCAAGTTACTTTTAAGAGGGATAGAGCAGTGGTCTTTGAACTTTTAAAACTTGAAAGGATTTTCCCTCCCCATAAAAAAAAATGTTGGTGGAGTCATAGTTATACTGATGCTTGATGCTTTTGTGAAGCTTTCATGTACTTATTTTATATCTTTCAAAGCCCTGAGGGGTTCTGCCATTGATTTCAACTAGAGCAGGATCTTGTATTGCATTTAGTTTTTCCTTTTAGCTTTGATTGTTGCTAACAGGTTACTTCTGCATTCTGAGATACTAAAGAGAAATACTCTTTTAAAATATTTTGTATATGTACATATGTATACATACAAACATTGAATAATTTTATAAAAATATTTTAACTGTAGAGTAAAACACAGGAAGTGATCTACCAAAATATTTTTTTTTCTTAATGTCTGAAAACAATTTAAGCCTGTTCTGTGTGGCTTGTAATTATTTTCTTTCCCTCTCCTTTTTTAATGAGGTTTCTGTATGCTACCCAGGGAGTACAAAGTACGTATTCATACATGTGGGCTGTATGAGCAACCTGTCTAACTTTTCCCTCTTAGGTCCTCACTTAGGAAAGATTATGCAGAAGCTTAGCTTTATACATGAGTAGTCTGATTGTTTTCAGTGGAAGTAGCTAAAGTAGTGGAGTTAAGCACAGAAACAAGTTTTAGCTGTTTTACTAAATGCAATTCAGATTTTCTCCACAAAGTGTCATTGGCATATAGGAAAAACTCCACAGGAGAAAGCCCAACAACTTGTGTTTGTAGCATAAATTCTTCAAAAAGATAGCTGCATGTGAATTGGTAAAACGCTGCAACGTACCTCACATACTGGGGGAAATATGGGCGTATAATTTCTATCAATTTCTGTTAGCATCTCTGTTCTTCTTTTGTTTGTTGTGTTTAATTGCAAAATGTTCTTCTGTTTCCAACGGGATACCCAGGTACTCACATGATACAAATGTATTAATAATCTATGCAGTTTGGGGTTTGAAGAGAATTGCTCTCGCAGTGTATCAGTCCGTTTTTCGTTATAAAGAAAACAGACTTTTTTATTTTTTTCTTTTGAAGTTGCAAACTTTAGTTGCTCTGAACTTAGTTAAATTGGCGTAGTTAAACTGTTCAGGAATGAAAAACAATCTTTGAGTTTTGACAGAAGAGTCAGATGTCGACGTTTTTGTATGCTAGCACCTTTACCTCTGTTTTTACAGCTTCACTTAGGATGGGGACTAAAATTAGGAAGAATATCTTTTTGTCATTATGTCATTATAGGACCACTTCATTCATGCTATGTGGTTGTCCTCACAACAATTCCTAAATGTCGAGTTGGGCTTAAGGGTTGGAATATTGTGGGAGCTGCCAGCTCCTAGGTGGCCATACATTACAAAATATCTAGCATGTAGAGCTTCAGAAGGAAATTTTTCATGGAATTCACAATTTTCATTGACTAAACAAATAAGTAACTCAAGATTTGGTCTGGGTGGGAAGACTTCAGAGTGGAATGGTAAAACTCAAAAATCTTTGCTTTCATCGAAACAACAGGTATCTAATAGTTTTCTTTTTCCTCCTTCTGTCTTCCATCTGTGTTCATTATGAAACAAAGTTAAGTGATTTTTTTTTTTTTTTTCTTTTCACATTTATGTTTTTAACTGAGACTGCTTTGGTATGATTCACACATGTATATAAATATCTTTTTTTCAAACTTCACCTTTATGTCAGTCTTTTTCAAAAAACCCATAGGTTTGTGGGAGGAGCAAGGGGGAACTGGGAAGGAAGAACCTCATTGCCCTCAGTTACGGAAAGGTGAGAAAGCATGCTAGATAATCAGGTTTTAAATTATAGACTTGACCATGACATTGATATATCAGTTTATTATTTCTTTATTTTTATTTTTTAAATTTTATCTGTAGTTCAAACTACTAATTTCCTTCCGGAATGGCTAAAATTAAAGGAGCACAGTGCTGTTAAATAACTGACAGATATATTTTAAAAGTGAGGGTTTTTTGATGGTTATGAAAAACATCTATCTACTTCTGCCCTGTACAAGGTGATCTCTGTTATGCACACTGTTTTCACTATCTAACAGTCTATGTGCAGAATTTACATGTATATTAATTTTTTTAGGGGGTGCTAAGGGAGCTTTGCTTTCTTCTACGTGTGTTGGCATGCTGGCTCAGGCTTTCTGTCACTTTTAAGTTATTGCCAGTATGAAAATTTGATGGGTGAAAAAGGTAGGCAGATACTGGAATAGCTTTGAGTTAATATCCTTGATTCTTGCCCTGGACTGTGACTTAGGCTGGGGGCTGGAAAGAGGGTTTCAACCATTTTCTTTAAGAGTAAACCATCCACTAAGGGATTTTGAACAATTAGCAAAGTTGATATCCTTAACATTGATTTCTGGAAGAAATGGTGGTGTTTTGTCTTTAAGGCATTGAAGCAGAAAGGACTGTTCTTGATTTCTTTACAGATTTTCAGTGAAGTGTTTGGCAATTCACTTGGAACGAGGTCCTCAGCAAAAGATAGGTGCTGAAGAGACCAAAGTTTAAGTCTTTGGAGAATGTCCTCCAACT